AGCGCGCAATTAATCAGGGTTTTATCTCGTCTCGCCGACCATTTTCCAACCATTGTTTTACTATCAACCAAATAAGTAACAAAAGCAACGTTATTAATTTAATGCTACGCCTTACTCCAATCAACATGAAACATTCTCATAATAATAATTCCATGGCTCCCACGGAAATACTATAAAGATTAACGTGCTTATTACACATGCAATTCCTGCTTCTTCCACGCATTATAATTCTTTACGTTACGCGCTACGTGCTTCCTGTAACAACACTTGCGTTACATGGTAATATTGCAGTACAATAATTCTATGTAAAGCGTAGCATGTCTCATGCGATGTTAAGGCTAAACAATAATTAAAAGTAATTAACAGGACTGTTTGCGACGAGAAGCGATCAATTGCACGATTCTTCGATTACCTAGCTGAAAAGCATTGTTGAAATTTTCAATGACTATTCGAAATGTCAAATTAATTTACACGCACGATAATTTAAAACGGAGTTTCTGTTTCTGAAGGAAGATAAAGCGAAGCGACAGATCGTAAAATTCTGTGATAGGAGCGAATGCGAATTTAGTGCACGATAGTGATAAGCGAATATTTAACGTGTTGCAAGCGCTGTCTTAAAATTAGACTCGTTCTTTCTACTTGTCAAGCGCCTAGATATTTCTATCAGCCAATGGGCGCGATTTGATTCGATAAGTACATCATTTGCCTTATCGTAGCGTTTTCTCGTAGAATTATTTGCTTCCAATAACGTCAGCAGTACATTCTTCGCAGAAAGCAATAAGCTGCAACGTAGGATCAAATAACCAGTTTTTCCCCAGTCATGTCTGTAGTTTCCTAACTTAAAAATTACGAAACAATATTTATCGCTTGTGTTTAAAAAATTACAAAAATTTATTCAGTCTTTGTTAAAAGAAGTTGTATATATTTTTAGCGAACCAAAAATATCACTGAGTTACGTATGCGGACTTTCTATGAAACTAATTAATCATCAACATACCAGGAAGCGAGCATTAAGATTAAGCGAAGTCGCAGTAAGTGACACACCGTCGAATGCATAAATGTCTGGAAATTTTGTTTACGTATCTACAATGCATTCTTGACACTCTTGTGCCAGCGATTATTTTTTATGTGTTTATACGTTCGTTCATTATACTTCGTTCAAACATACTTTACGTTTGTTGTCATATTGCGCTTTATAAATGTTAGGATAAATATTTTGTACGCGCGAAGATTGTCAATACGTCAGGAAAAACAACTGTTGAACAGTCCTACGTACAGGAAGAATGGAGATAAAACATGACGGAAGCCTTGTCTGACTACTGCGAGCCGATTCTACTGTTGGGAAAATTCGCACGCGCACTTGCTGAACGCTCATTGTCCGTGATCGAATCAAGGAAAAAGCCGAGTGTGTAACTTTGGGATTGAAGATTTCCTTTTGCAATAAATATTCATAGCGGTGAAACACTCGCCTCCTTGAAATTGTAGAATGGCTACTAATGACACCTGCCACGTTCTCTCGTACAATATTCATTGATGGGTAGAACAAGCCTGTTTTCATTAAAAGCGACGTGCACGGTTTTAGGACAAATATTTCCCTCTTTCGAATAAATATTTCCACAATGTCTTATTGCTTAGAAGTGTGCAGTGATATAACGACACGTGTATATACATATATCTCCGTGCAGTGTTCAAAGAAAAATAGGAACGATTAACAACAACCGGTATCAGCATACTTATGACCTGCAGCTGATTGCAAATTTGATGTGAGTCGTTGCACGTAGTCGTTATAAACGTACACTTTACATGCGGGCATTAAATCACTCAGTTTAATAGTACCGATTTACATCAGGAAGTATTTGATTAACAGTTCACCAGGGAGGGAAAATGATTATTTTTCGGTCATGTAAATAATGTAACCTTCGTGTTAGAACGATCACTGCGTATTCATTCATTATTGCACAGTAGACAAACTAACACGATGGTGTAAACTTGTTGTCTGGGCAGATTCTATTTTTACATACATATTTATTTAACGTCGGTCGTGCATCATCGAATTATAATCGTTCTGCTAAACTTTTTTGTTTTTCGACATCCTTTAACATCACTGTCCATCGGAAAACACTTTTATACTTAGTTGATTGACGTGGAGGTATTTATGTATTTTAGCTGACTTTGAAAATTGATGTTGAACAGTAGCGCAATCACTATAATCAGAATAAATAGCCACATATTTCGTTTCTTTATGGCAAAACAGTTTTATATTGACGTCTAGTCGTCAATTTCCACGATTTTCCATTCCTGTTTTAAAAACAATTCTGAGGAGGTGCATATTCGTTCACTTCTCATCTCTGTATATTAATTTAAACTCGAATACGCGAGTCAGGGTGAATTTCACGTGTTCGGTAGTCGTCATGCCGCAATACTGAAATCTGACGACTGAATCACGTGCGGGGCGATGAAAAAATCACGCGAGACTCGATGGTAGGGACAAGGAAGATCCGTGGCTTCGCTAAGTACCGTGCGTGTATTCCGTTAGACTTATTTGTAACGGGTGAAAGATAAGTTTCAAAAATATCAACTCTTATCTTTATGATTCCTCCGTTATCAGATGTAATCCTGAGGTATAAAGACGTAACTCTGTGTGCAGCATACAGCCAGGTCTTGCGTTTTAGTCTTGCGAGAAGTGTGACGCTTATCAAAGTACTTACGCGAATTTATCGAGTGTCCGAGTGTCCGAGTGATATGGACGAACTTAATGGTAAATTATGCACAATCTAACATCAAAATTGTATTACTAAACTCAAACGCGTTGCAAATTCACAAGTTTCTGTAGGACCTATTTTGCAAAATCACTCGCAGTGACGATCAGAAATCTATAATGACTGTAAAATTTAACATATAAGTATCTATCGAAATCGTGACTCTGCAGTTTAATTCGCGATGACCAGATAATGTGATATTGTTTCGTACACTTCTAATGTCGAAATTTTTTATGTTATTTCATTTATTTGACACTTACTCATCCTTCCAACGTGAACGTAACGTAGAAAGACGTACTCTTCCTCAATTTTTGCCTCTGGCGATTTAGTAGTTCTCAAGCTATCTTTGCTTCATAGTTTTAAATCAGCCGTAAAAATAACTCGTTCATCCTCGAGCTAACGACACCGGGAGACCCCAATTGTAGGACATTGTTCGAGTTTCCATCGTGATGCGGGTGTACATGCTGTTGGTTAATATTTGATCGGTTCTTATTTTTGAAATAGCATACGGCGCACGGAACTGACGGATATCGATCACGCGATTGTTAACACCGAGATGGCCTAGCTACCTTTCGCGGTGTATATTCGTACTCTCGCGTAGCCTACTTTTCTTTCTCGCCGCCGGACAATATTTATAGACTTTTACCTCCTTATTTACTTACTTAGAAACAAACGCCAGATTTATAAACGTACATACCTCAGGCGTTAGTCTGTTCTGGATCGCTCCGAACGTCACAGAACTCCAACAAATTGCAACACTTGTTTGAACATCGAAGTTTATTCGATAGATACGATTAATTTCGAGTCGATATTTATCCAGAGAAAAAAATCGTAGAATTCCTCGGGCATTGATGACTAATAAGAGAAATAAATAATAAGAGAATTCCAAGAAGATGAAATAACGTTTGATTTCGAATCGATTTTAAAATTGAAATCGTAAACGAATTTAGATCACGTCTCGATCGAAGTGCGGCGATCATTCATCACTGTCGTGGATATTTTTAATGCAACATCGGCCAATAAACGTTCCTCGAAAAATAATCATAGTTTTTCCTGTGAAACCGTTATTTATTATACTACAGCGTAATCCTCGATTAGATTTCACGCCACAGTTCCCGCGGTGCTATACAAATCGCTTAGTACGAATGACCCACTTCGACAAACGACCATCGTTCCGTTTTACCTGCTGAAGATGTGGGACCGTTAACGACTCCATGGCCATTTGTATTCATCGAATTTCGTTTTGACGTCAACGTGACAATTAATGGACGTAAACTGCCACCGCGTGTCAAAGTACATAAATTCATCTGTGGCAGGAGAAACGTCCCCTCAGAAAGTAGTTACATCAAGTCGTTCACGCTGTTCGAAGTATACTGTAGAATTGTATTTCTTCTAGACACTTTTGCACTTTTTTTAAATAACCGCATTTCGAGAATACGAGATTTGTTTTAAACGTGAACAGGTAAAGTCTGCTGGAGATACGTAAATCTTATGAACCGCTCGGTACGAGTTCAGAGTTCTGTTCACTTGTCATCGCGTATCACACGAATCAATACGTCGCGGCTAGAAATAAAGTACGTGGCAATATCCTTACGGCGTCTATATATAGTAGCATTTTCTAAAATTGATCAATCCCGCAAATAGCCGCGACGCGGTACGCGTATTCGCTGTGTCGACTTAATCAAGATACGGAAATGGAAAATTATCTAAAAATAAACCCTGGTCGCTTCGTATGTTGTCCTTTCATGAGAAAGCTCGCCGCTCCAGTTAATAATACTATGATCAAGGTAAATGATTGGCAGGCTTGGTAATACTATCTTCTCTTCCCTATCATCTGTCTAACGCTTTTCATTCCACGATATATTCATCCCCGGACTTATTTATAGAATTCTCAGAGGTATACTTCAAAGAAATTCGGTGCTATAAAGCATGTCAATTTCTTTTGGAAGCTCGAACATTTGTTTCCTCGCCGTTCGTGACATTGCCTTCCGCTTGATCTTCCGAAATCTTAATTTCTTCGAAATTTAAATTAAAATGCGATAATTAATAGGATTTAAAAAAAGCAAATTCTAATGTTCTATCATCGCTAAACATGAATTCTAAACGCTCTCATCATCCAAATGTAAAAGACTCCAAGGAAATTGAGATCTCTCTCGAAATCATTTTCTTGAATCGAGATATCTGCGAAATTTAAGGATGATACGAGCTATCACCAAACCAGGATTTTTTTTGCGATTTCAGCAATGTCCTTGGAGGAGTCGCGACGCTCGCAGCGTCCGTACAGGTACGGGATGGTTTTTCTTTGCGTCGGGGCACTGATAAACTGGTTAGGCCTCGCGGAGAACTACGTCGAACCGGTACGATATGTCGGTGTTGCTTGCATAATCGCCGGCGCTCTTCTCATATGTGCCGCAATGTGTTGTTGGCTGCACGCACCGCCAAGTAGGGCAACCATGCACACACAACACACAAACCATCCGATCACGGCGCAGGTAAGTCTTCATTTTTACTAACGCGTCGCGATAGCGACAAACGTTCCCCGTTATTTTCCACCTTTTCATTTTATTATTGGAAACGCCAGACCGGTCTGGCGAACGGACTCATCGTCCATGAGGTATTGGGTTGAAAATAGATTTAGAGAACTCGGTTTATTTTGTCGAAATTAATTGCCGACCGACCGGATGAAAACGATTAATCCCTCTTCGTTCTTGTATATTTCGATTATCACTTAATTCATCGAGCAATGAATAGAATTTATTTCTCAAGGTAATTTATAAATCGTTTTTATCTATTTTCCTGTTTCTATTGAGGAGCAATTATCTATGATTGCTATCAATCGTAGAAGGAAGTAATTCCACGTCAGGTCATTAACTTTCTCCGTCGCGACGCTGTTTGAGGAATGCGAAACGTTGCACCCTGCCGAAGCCTCCGGGGATTACATTTTCTCAGATCGATCCGTGTCAACCCCTTGTTACAGATTCGCTTACCTCTGACCGGTCGCTCATGGCGCAAGCGGTGGTATGTAAAACGGTCGACAGTTCGTAAACAGGCCGTGAGATAAAAATAATATTAGAGTTTGATCGGAATCGTTGCCGTGGGCCCTTTCTCGCTTCGTAAATTGTTCACCAGCCACAGGAACCATCGTACTTAACACGCGCCACGTGGCGTTCCGGCGTTAATCGTTACGAGCCCTCGTTGGTAGCCAGAATTTATGCGCGACGTTTAAGGTTCACTGCGAAAACGTTGTATCGCTGTAACCGATAAATTGCCTTTAACGTTTTCAGCCTCGCTGTTGCATCATGGACAGGTGCCGTCGATGATAATTCGGGAACATGTGCTTTCTGCGTACAGAACTGTATAAAGCGCGGTATCATTTGCAAAATCATTTCTCATTTAATGTTTATCCGTACATCGGAATTAAAATTCTTGATCCTGCGAACGATGAACGAGCGATATGCCATTTATATGTACGACAGCGTTTTTTTCACAGGAGTCACGTGAAACCCCGCGAACTAGATTCTTATCATTCGTCCTCTCTCATCTTCCCGCGATTCTATCGCGTCTCCGTCCGCAACGTTCCCCCTTTTGTTCTTCCCGCGCCATTATACGCTTTCATTGTATACACCGCGAATCTTGGTCGTGCAAAAAACCGTCGTCGAAAAACTTGTTTTTCTTCTCTTACTTCCATTTTCTCCCCCCTTCAGTCTCGCTTTTGAAATGGTATGTAGGTGCGCAGTAGTATAGTCGGGTGGCGCTTAGAATAGCAGCCTTTCCTCTTTTCACTGCACTCGGGGAAACAATAGAAATACAAAGGTCCGTCGTCTGCGGTTCGATGCATAAAGGAGGTCGCCGGTAGGCAGTAGTAGCATGCACTTATCTACTCGCCGTAAGGATATTCACCCGGAAGCACGTATCTATATTTATCGGCAGCCATCCTTCGATTATTCTGGCTGCCCGCGACTGACACGTATGCCAAACTGGCCAACGTGCCAATTTTTCTCTAAACCGAACCCGCTTTCAAACTTCGTTACTCTCCATTATCGCGTAAACAATCGGATGTATGAATATTTTGTGTGATGTAGAATTCGGAACATAACATAATCTGAAACAGCGAGAAGACAAAACGTTTAGATGTTCAACCAGAACACTTCATTTCGTCACGAAAGGATGTTTATACGAATAAACGGCACGATTGTTTATCATATCGTGTTTTAATAGTAATAAAATTGTTAGCATTGGAAAATCTTCTTTCTGTCGGTGAATAAAGCTGCGCCAGGTACGAAGAGATTTTGGTTAAGCGAATCGGCGGGGTTCTCAGTCATTCACCTTGCGATTCACTCGCGACCGAGCGATTATGCAATTTTCCGCGGACGATTCTTTATGACTCGAATAACCGGGGCTATTTTCATCCTGTTCTGTATCCGGCGTACGGTGGCTTCTCAATAAACCCCGCGCCCTTTCGTGACTCGGATCCGGCCGAGCTATAAAGTCCCCGAAGAGTGTCGAGGCGAACACGTAGGCGGATATCTATAGACAACCGTGGTATATATAGCAGAATAACCATTTCGGGGTTAATATCCTTGCGGTCGGTCGCGTAATGTCGTCGTAAAGTATTAACGAGATAGAACGCCGTGCCGCGTCAGCCCGCACTCTTAAAAAGGCTCGGAAATCTGTGGTTTAGAACATGCAAAACCGATGAATCAGCTTACTTAAAAAAAATTACTGCTATACAATAGCGAATTTTTTAAATAACTTGTAACTAAAGTATTCTTAGGCAATCCTTTAAATTTTGACATTTATTTTTCAATAAACATTATAATGAAGATTTTATTTTAATAGAAGTTAAATCAGATTAATTTTGTTAATTGTAGATAGACGATCCGATTCACGTTATCTCTATCGAGGAACCTTCTAGTGGATCCAGACAGAAACCGCCGGACTATGAAGCCGTCACGGACGCGCCACCCAGCTACGATGATGCCATCAAGCTGAATCCTAGTCATCTGCTGAGGACGAGCAACTGCTCCATGTTGTCCTTGCCAGCCGTTCACAACATGGTACCCAGAACTGTGGAGATTGCCTCTAGAGACCCGACACCCTCGCCGCCGCCTCCGTATGCGAGGTAAAATTCAATCCCGGCTTAAACCACTTTCTACTGAATGAAGATTATCTTTATGCCGCTGACGTAGCGAAATACTCGGAAAGCGGGATATGAAAAGAACGGGGTGTCCGATAAGCACTTAAGTCGATCGTGAGAATTGTACGTCTGCAGGCGTTTATGAAAGACAGGATGGGAGAATAGACCGCGTACACGGCTATGACGTGTTATGTCCCGCATGGGTATATACCCTGCTCGCTCTGACAAGTGACGTATGGATTCTTATAAAACTCCGCGACGTCATGGCATACGTCCTACTTTTTCATAGCGTATCAGATTTGAAGTAAAGATACCTAGGAGATACTATTTACTAAAAAGTGACAGTGCCTGTGTAATTGTTGGGGCAGCGAATGGGGATCAGTGGAGCTCAAAACACGGTAACATTTGTAGCTGACAGCTATAGCAGTTGATGTTTTATGTTTCAGGTGAAATTTATGGTATTAGCAATCATATGCGCAACGAAAGAGGTTTGCGGCATGCTGGAGGTCCAGCGTATTGCAATACGGCGAAGAACGAAGCAAGTGCAAAGAAGAGGACGACGTGAGAAGCGTGTCAGTAGTCAGTAGCTGTCACAGGACCGATGACAATGGAGAGAGCACACGAAGGAATAATCGTTGGCGATTAACGATAAGGCGTCGCGGCACTGGACCTCGTTTTAAGTAGACTAAAGATATGTGTTCGGAGGACGAAACAGATAGTCCCCCACGCGGGACTCTGGTTTTGCTGAATCGATACAACGACAAGAGCGAAACGAAGGAGATAGACGCATATGTCTTACGTTGATTGATGGATCATCAGATTTCGCAACAATTTGAGAAACTCGGGTGAGCTAGTACGAGTCGAAGAATGCGTAACGAATACTGTGCCTTCCGTTGGCGAGACACGAAATACTCATGACTCGACGGAGTTCTAAGATTTCTAGTGAGTTTGCTGATAAACATTGATGCTGTTGTCGACTTCGTTTGATTAATTTAGGGCGAGCCTAAAATAACCCATGTACGTTCAATGCGAATTCCTCGTTATTGCGAGGAATTAAAAGTAAAAATAAGACAAGGAGGAGAGGAGTCCTATAAAAAGTGTCGGAATCGAAAGTTCCGATCTGGTATAGCTTAGACAATCGTACGGCTTATTTAAAGGAAATACGTTTGCTTGCCATATGATTTCGATGATTGTCCTTTTTACACTGTGTACATACCACATGCGAGAAGTTCGCACGTCCATTTTATTGTGATACATACGGTAATGCAGGTATTATAATATATTGTATAATACGTCATTGTGACATTGCTTTGTGAAATAAGACTCTTTTTTTATAATGAAAATGCAAATATACTGAGAGAGAAATTTTAATGTCCCATGTCCTTTCCCTACCCTACTATTTACATGCAATAGGATTTTGAATAAATGATGCACAAACGTTGGATGGATTAGACACGTACGTATGTTTTATTAGTAATGAAAATTTCACAATAAACAAAAATAAATAATGAAAATCGGAAGAAGCGCTGTTTGGCAATAAAATCGAAGAATTTACTCGCTTCCGTGCGAAGAATAAATTTACGTGTTCATCGGTAAATACCCTTTATTCAATCGGAGTAACATTTATACTTACTTAAAGCATGTTATTGAACTTATATATTTCGTACAACTTTATCAACGGCAACAATAATAATCATAATTAATGACGATAACATAACGACAATAGTAGCAATATAATTAGCAATAATACCGGATTGGTAACTCTTGGGGAACAAAACGGCCGCTTCCGTTGACATTGAATACATATTTTCGCCGGTTTCCTCCTGCTGTCCTCGATTGAGCAAAAAAATAGATCTAATCACAGGTGACGAGATAGTAATCATAATCGTTAATGAATAATGACAATGACAAGAATGAGATTAATCGTAATCGCCGGTCGACTATCGCTATACTTTTTTTTCCGTTTTAAATTTATTATTACTCTCACTACACGGTGGTTTGGTTAAAGTATTATTCCACTTCTCACGGTATCTATCTTTCACTCCTTTGCCCGTTCACCAATAAATTGATTCTCCCGTATTCTCCGTACCGTGTACACTCTCGTACACTCTATGTACACCGTTGCCTCGTTCCACTGTGACGAAATTATCTCAGTTTACAAATTAAGATGCGTCGCACGCGAAATATCTTCGCCTCCTCGCCTCTGGTCGTTTTTCTAATATCCTGTTTTAAACTAATATTTCACTTATACTTTGTGTCACTATCTGGTAAGTGTTAAATGATTATTTTACGCTATGCACTCTTGTTTTCTCGTATACATGTCAATGTCAGAGAAACGGACCAGGGCCGCTGTATTCCGACCAGCATTTTTGAAAACTCGTCGAATTTCCGATCGCGTTTGAGAGGTGGAAGATATTTGTCGCTTCACGATGCACACACCGTCGTATTTACATGCACGTATTGATTAATGAAACGCCGACTTGCAACGTAGAAAATCACAAAACTGATAACAATTTACATACGTACGTCGGACACGAGCGTATCCTAAAACGAATCTCTTTAACGAAAGGAACGAACATAGAACGTCTCAAAGCTATTGCACAAAAGAACGAGTATCCCATCGCCCTCGCGGTTCGCGAAGCTCGTCGATCCTCGACGCGCTCAAAAATTCATTAAATACACACCGTGCATACGATTGACATTTTGACAGTCGACGGACGGGTGACGAGCGGATTCGTTCCGCTCGCACCTGTGCCGCCATTACACATTGAAATTCTCCGTAATTTTCGATCATCTTTCACACACAGCTAGCCGATTCGATCCGACGATCTATCGCCGAACTCTCGTATAATCTCTCTATCGACTATGTACATATTATGGACAACGTATTGCACCGTTTTTGGTTTCTCATTTTTCCTTCGCAGACTCGTTGATAATATAAATGCGTCGGTATACTCGTCGCTATATCCTATACGAGAGAATAGTAAGAGTAGTGGTAGCAATAATAATAATTAATGATTGGATTAGTCCTAAAAACGATCTCGGTGGTTGTAACAGTGACGATAGTAGTAATAATATTATCTAGCGGTAGTAAGTTACGCAATAGTAATTTATATGTTAGCCATCGCTTCGGTTCATCCTTTTTTTTTCAATTTTTTTATAATAGCAGAAGCAGTATCTTAGCGGTACCACGGTTTTTTTTCCTTAAAGACGTTTAATGGCTTAACGGGTAGTAACAGTTATGCACTGGTAAGGGCGATACGTTTTTTTTTTCTGTTTCTCGATATACATCTAAGCTAAACTTGATTCGCATTTATCCTTGTCTGTATTAATTCACCTTCTCTTTACACGTCTTAAGAGTGATAGCCACATTAATTTCTTCGTCGAATAATATGTTTCCTCTGTCGCTCCTTATTTACAATTACGACGACCGCGGGTCCTCGTTTCACCTTACAATACTTACAGACTAGCCAGTTATATACAAAAGATACTGCTATGAGCAACGTCAGTACGCACGGTTCCGTGAGTTTTGCACTGAATAGATCATCAGAGGATACCTTAGATACCGTTGTTGTAACATTTATTAACAGTCTATACAGTCACCTCTGGTGTGTCCGAGTGTTTCACAATTTTCTTTAAGCACCGTTCCGCGTTTGGTACACGAGATCACCAATATCTTCAGAGAAAGTTCCGTTCTCCCGTTCGAGCACGATTACCATGGATAGAAAAGTCTTTGTTCATTCGTTTACCAGCGATTCCGATCATCGCTAAGAGGTAAATTAGGGTCCAGTACGATTCACCCGTACGTTTGGTGTCTTTTAACATTGATTTATCGTCACAACGGAATCACCGCACGTATCGTGTACGAGTCGCGTTGTATCCGATCGTTGAGCTTTAAGGATGGTCTCAGATGGGTGTCGGTAGTACCGTGAAATCTTGCAGCGCGGTCTTCACCGTTTCGTATATCGGCCTGTTCGCCTCGTCCGCGCAGTAACCATCTGCCGTGCACAGCGTTTGCAACTTCGTCAAATAACTGTCGAAATTCTCGTGGCCCATCTTCTCCTGCGGTCCGCCCGGGGCATTCGGTATTCGCACGTGCTCCAACAACGTTATCATGTTATCGCGCAGCGACTGATAGTACTCGGTCAGGTTGTTGTTCCGCTGGGAGATAGTCGTCGTTTCCTGCGAAGGAACGGATAGTTTCTTTTTACAAACAGTATATTAAAATTGCGATCAATTAACTTCTAACGATCTACAACTACGGCTAGGGGTAGCGAAGAGAGAATTGGAACGAGCAGGAATTTTCAAATTCAAACGTTGAAAGGAAGGGAAGCACCCTTAACGATGGACAGCATTTACTTTAGCAGCTGTTGACGCAGACTCTTTTTGGGCTACGATCTTTACTATTCTTAATTTTAATCGGACTTTTCATCGTGAAAAATATACTATACGTTAAATTTTACAGTATTTAGTTCAGATTCTCTGTTACAATTAATTCGGAAGTGGAAGCTGTAGCTGAAATTTGTTTGTACTCTGCATTGATAGCTACGGAAGTACGTCAGCCGTCGCTATCAGCGTATGGTAATAATCGATTACCGACTGAGTTACTGACCTTTTCACCTTGCTTCAACTGGTTCTCCATGGCGGTGATGTCGGAGCGCAAGCGCATCACCTGCGATTCGACCCGAGCGTTCTCCCTCTGGAGCTCCGTGATCTCGGCCTCCAGTGTGTAGAGATCTTCGCTCTGGCCACTGGCGGTACCGCTACCACTCGTGTTACCCTGACCCGTACCCACCGCACCCCCGTGAGGCGGACCACTGGTGTCCACTCCTGAAGATAGGACATACACGTCCGTTTTACAAGTCTGTCTATCTTCACCAGTTCTTTTTCTTTTCTTATATCCCGTCTCCCGATTTCCAACAGCTTTCAACCCTTCTCAAGACCACAGCTTCATACGATTATTACGAAATAAAAGAGACGTACTACCTTCCCTTTTATTACTTTAATAATTATGATTCAGTAGATCGTCGTATTTGAATATTGGGATCGTATAAAACAGCAGTCTTGAGAGCGAAGGTTGATGTCATTAAAATTATCGGAAGCCAAGGCGGCTAACTGAAAGACCGATCAACCCAAGATCTTGACCGAAGCTCGTCGAAGAGCTTTGTCTTCACGCAAAATTTCACACAGGAAGCGACTCGACGTTATAGAGAAAGATATGTCGATCTAATTACTTAGTTATCTTGACAGGTGTGCGGGATCCATATACAATAAAATGTGAGAGATGTGGCGAGAGCGTATGTAAAAGTAGCGCGAGGAAAGCTTCGGACAGCGATTTGGGTTGGCCTGTGATCGGGCGTAATACATAGTTTCTTTTTCTTTTTTTGAAAACAAGTGCATCGTCACATCGTCGGCTCGTTTTATCGCGTGACAATGATCGCTTTCTAGACAGAGCATTTATTCTTATCAAGTATCCCAAGTCGCTGCATGAGGATTTGTCTGAAATGTGGGATCGGTACGGTTTCTTCTGCGAGCGGTTCGTGCTGCAGTGGAATGGACAAACAGAGCTCGGACACGCGACAACTTGTTCGCTTCCGCTTGTGAAACGAGTGACGCGTCAGTGAGCTCATCGACAGGCGCACGAACCTTGACAGGAGTGCCGCAGGAGAGCAGAATGATCGAGGACGAATGTTAAGGGTGATCGGGGGGTAGCGTGAGGTGCCATCATACCAGATAGAAGAAAAAAATGGGAGACACCGAGTGCTGGCCTTTGCTCTAACGGTATCGGCTTCAATTAATTGCAACGAGGTGAATCGTGTGAAAGTCTCAAGCTGTGAGCCTCGGGAAGTAGCGATTGCCAACACTCGGACGTCATCTCGTAAAAAGTAAAAAATTACTGGTGTGTGGAATTTGTATGTAACACCGAAAACACATAGAAAACAAATGGCGAGTACGTCAGTCCCTTACCTTCAAAAGTAAATGTTCTCCTCAAAGCTCAATGACAGGAAAGGAGCTGATCGTGATCCCAGAATAAATCAGAATATATTATTTTTCATTATTATGACATACGGTTGCTTTTCTTTTTAAGGGTCTTTCTTTTACATTTTTCATTTTCTGTGTTCTCTCATCGTTCTGTTCTTACACATACTAGTGTTGGAGGTGGGATTCAAATTCGTAATCGGAAGAAATAAAGTTATATAGTGGAAGTCGAGGTGTTCAGTTAAGGGGTTTCATTTCTTCTTCTTCTTCTATTAACAATTTTGGTTTCGTTGTCGGTGAACGAAATTCTGTGCATCTCTGTTCCCTCGTGGAAAAGTGAAACAAAAGAGAAGAAAGAAAACTGCGAATACACATGGAATTTTTTTTTTTAAGAAAGAAAGAGAAGCGAGAACGTAATTTATAATTTTAAGTAGAGACGATCAAAGAAGTAATAAAAATTAATGGGTAGAGAGAAGTAGGAGAGGGAAAAGGATGAGATTACTCTTGTTGGTATGACAGCACATCATTGCGTGAAGAGTAGAGTATGGCATAGCATAGGATCAAGTACAAAGGTCGTATATGCACAAGTTTACAAATAAAGATCCAGAATTTTGTCACGATTTTTTCCCATCGACTCGTCCAAATTGCAATTGCCAGTTTTCGCTAATTTGCTGAATCTTACACATTCTTTTCGTTTGCACGTAATAAACTTTCTGGTCAACGAGAAGAGAAGATGGACGAGTACGATGCCAGAAAAGAATAGAGAACTCGGATGATCATGCCTACTCTACAATTTCGCATCTACCGGATACCCGGCAGGCGATCACGTGTTCCAATTCGATTAGGCTCGTAGCTCGACGTGAATGAGACCTCGAATTTTCAGCAAAACATTCGATAACGTGATGACTCGTTCACGAAGAGCCGACCCATTCTGTTTTCTTTTCTTTCACTCTTCGATTAATAATGATGCGCATCGATAATAATAACCGAAGACATCAACGACACGATCTGAGGCGGCTCGATCCTCACCGGTGATTCCTTTGCTGTACATGCTCGACATGTCTTCGAACTTCGGTTTCTTCACCGCGTGCCCAGCAATCGGGCAACCGGACAGCGATCTATGGGTCGAGAAGGAACCGTTTATATGACCGATCCCGTCGCACCCCGGCGTCGGACAGTTCACGCCCTCGAACTTCATCGCTGTCGCCGCAGCCACCGCCGCTTTGTGCTGTTCCACCGTGCCTCCAGATTCCAGTACTCGCATCTTGTTCCTGTTCGCGATTGGACAACCCGACGCGCTGCAACAAGTTGTTGCGATGGCAATTAAGCGCACGCCGCCTACTATTGTGTAAAAAGAGAGCCACAATCTTTGTAAAGAGTAATTTAATAAGAAAGAAATCGATAAAAATTCTACATGATATATTTATCTATTCAACCAAGATAGGAATGAGTAAAGAAAAACAATACTAGGAAATTAAAGAACGGTTAATCTTGCTAGACAAGAGGGGAAGTCTTACCTGCGATGCGACAAGAATTTGCCAGTAGCGTGGCCGGAGCCGTCGCAACCGGGGATCGGACACCTAGCCGTCCGAAATGCCAACACCACCATTACCAACACCATACAATCCATCCACACAGAGAGCGAGCATGAAACGAGCGGAAACCGCTGGTTATTAGTCAGCGTCTTCGTCTTCGCGTTAAACGGGACGGGGTTTAAAGGGACACCGCGGCTGGAAGGGACGGGAGGAAGGGAGTTTCCCTTTTCGGTCGGATCTTAGCACGTGCAATGCGGTCAGGGAGATACCCACGTAGTTGCGTGCAACGTGCGAACGCGGTGAAAGCGCAAATTGGGATCGCTATTACGTGTGTAACGCAAGTTGCAGAGTTTGCAAGGAGACTAGAAACTCTCCCGCAATTAATCCCATTCTATCTTTCGCCCTAATCTCGATCGAATCTATTGTGGGAGTCAATTGTGCCGATCTCGGGTTAGCTTTAATTGCTTTCGGGGATTTTCAAGTAGCAAAAGTCCGCGAGTTCAGTTGCTCGTACAGATTAAAGAGAGAGAAAGAGGAGTTGGATAGTCGAGACGCTAGGAGATTAGACGCGAATAATGACGATGACAAACCTTAATGGCTCGGAGTCCTGTCCGTCTCGGGGCTTGCTCTTCGGTTTGTTAGCCCGCGGACAACCGGACAGACTCCTGTGGGACGAATAGTTTCCGGTCACGTGTCCGGAACCGTCGCACCCTGGCGTGGGACACTTCAGTTCTTGCGAATGCGCTTGAATCTGTGAACGATCCGCTCGCGGACAACCGGACAAACTGGAAAGGAAACAAAAGTTTCTTGTTGTTTAAACCCGTTCCTGGAATACCATGACGATTTCGTGCCACTCGCGAAGCGAAATGATAATTGAACAATTACTTTGAATAAAGTACGTCTGATCGAATGATCGAGTGGCGCAATAATCCTCATGGTCAGGATCACGAACGCACACCTCAGGGACATCCAACGATGGCTTCAGCAACACATCGCATGCAATTTACGCGACGTTGCCAAGAAGTCTCGAGTACTTACGTCCGGAACCACAGGTGCAATACTCATCGAGTACTTAAAAGAAACGCTTGAAAGAAGATTTCAGTGAGATACGTATATATCCATTAAAAGCGAGAGAACTCGATTCACACTGAGATCGTCATTCAGGCTGATCGTACAAATCATTTCAATAAAATTAGCAACTCTCACGGTTTACTCTTGGACGACTTGCCTTGCGTCCAGTTCGAACGAAGACAACGAACATGTTTCGCGAAACGCTATCCTATTCCCGGTCGAGGATGATTAACGTTAAATGATCGAGTTTCTGGATCGTGGACGCACAGTCGAAACGGGCAATCAGCACGGTGTCGTATAGAATAAATCATATTTAATATATATATATGACAGCATGCAAATGGCAACGCCGTGTTCCAGTTGGATCACTCATGAGGTGTCGCTCGGGCGATCGCGTTTCAGGTTCATGTCAATACAAGGTTGGCCTTACTTCTAGGAACACTGAAAGGGAGAGCAGGGAGCACACTCACACCTGACCCCAGTGAAACTCGTCAATTGCCAATTGTCTCGTGGATTAATTTAATCGTCGTGTGCAACTGTTTTTCTCATTTCTGTTCACGTTTTCTGCTCTGACATGGTCATCGGCAACAGTTCGCTACGAAGCTGCCCACTCGAGGCTGGCGAAGCGGTTTCGTTAAAAGAAACGGATGCGGGTTTCGGTGATCGGTATTATACATATAGACAGATACATATACATATAACTAGATGCGTATGAGAATGAATATTAATTACAGTTAGAGCTCAAGACAGACTGGTGGAAGCATCGTTCGAGAGCAGCAAGCTGCTCTTCAGCCGCGATCGTCTTAATGATTTTGCCATCCCTTTTCGTAGGGGTCGGGTCGAAACGGGGAGCAAGTGGTACTTCATTCAACACGAAAACTCATCTACATACACCTTGATTATAATATATCGTACGATATAAACGTAATAAGAGACGGGCTGGGGGTGTGGTGGACGGGTTACGTACGTGAAGAGAGATACACAAAGAGAGAAAAATGGGGTAGGCGACGCAAGAAAATATAGACAAACGGTAGATGTAGAAAACAAGAGGAAAATTAATGTGTAAAAGTAACTATTTATAATATACCAATGGATGTTTACACGTATAATATAGATATACAACAATATCGAATAAGGGATAAGTACAAGACCGGTACAGCCAGGAGGTAAGGGTTGAAGGGGGTTGCTCTAGATAAAATGATATAATAGTGTCACAAAACACTTAAGAAGCCACTACGCCACGGACCACCAATATGCATCGACGCAAAAACCCATCTATAGAATTTTCGTGAGAGATCCCTATATGAATCATTGATCGTGTTTCTAAGATGTCAATGTTTCGTACGTGTATATGTGGTGTATGAAATGAGTCAAATTAATCAAATTGGGATAGAACTACTCGTAGGAATCGTAATGAGAATTCAAAGAAAATTTATGTAGTGAACATCTTCGAGGATTTCGCGCAAACTTGGTCATTGTGTTTTATAGTTAGAAATAAGACCAAGCATCATTTTCTACGATGCGCTTGTCTTTGCTACACGGGATAATCTTATTTGCAGCTGTTAAACACACTGACGAAGATTTGCACAGAAATCAATGAGATCGTCGATATACGTGTATGTATGACGTTGAGCGTGCGTGCGTGCTGCATCCCTATACCAATATAATAGTAAAAATTATAAAAAATCGGCGGGCTTAGATGGTCGATCGGATAAATGTTAAATGTCAGTGTCAAATGTTAATGCTGCCTTGCCTTCTGTGGGTAGCGTAGTTTCCCGAGACATGACCCATGCCATCACAGGACAACGTGGGGCACTGTATCAGCTCCTTGCCATCGCGACCACGAGGAGCGGGACGAGGTGCGAAATTCAACGAGTGCCGCCTCATACTGCACCGAACAACATCAATAACAGAATGAGACACTCTAAACGCGATTGCTCGTCCCTCGTACTGCTTGTCAATTAACATTTTCTCATCCAGCGTCGTACAATGGATGATCGTATAATCGAAGGGATCAACGGATTCGCAAAACATTTCTGTGCATTGACTTATGTCCTCGGCATTACCTCGAGTATCTTTAATTCATGTGCGATCGAATTGCGGACATCATTCATAATCAAAATTTTAATAATGAAATTGAAGCTTCCTAGTCTCCGGAGCTTGAAACGCTGGACATCCAGGGTACGAGCGTGGCCGCAACGCAATCGCTGCGTCACGTCGTTACAGAGTCGGGATAGCAACCGGAAAGTTTTATTGCGCTCCGCAACTTTTCCTTCTCGGCGAGAGGGAGGATACTGTGTGCGCGGACAGCGGGCGTGATAGCGACATATGAGAGAGAGAACGAGAAAAAAAAAAAACTAAAAATCCCGAAAAGTTCGGCACCGGTCGGTGGAGAAAGAGCAGGAAGAGGCGGCAGGAGAAGGAGGATGAACAGGATGCGGAAGGAATATATACGCGGATCAGAGGCAACCGGAGAGCAGTTTGCTTCTGCTTTTTTCTCTCGTCTCCTCGTAGTATCTCGTAGATGAACGAACTACCGCCGGGCTATGAGAAGCCTCGAAAGCCTCGATGGCCCTTGAGTAGCCGCGATATTGCCGGCCAACCGGGCCGACGGACGCGGACTTGAGTGCAATTCAACGGTACCCAACCTCCGCCCCCCGGATCTCGGTTTCTCTGCCTTTCGTATTTTCCCAGTTTCCGTCTAACTATTTCTATGTCTTCGTACAAGCGCGGTAAGTCGCGTCGTCGTTTATTCGACGGCTTGTCCCTCGTCCATTAGGATTCGTTTACTGGTCGATGGGGATGAATTTATGAACGTTTATTTGCGGGGAAGAATGAGACGATTGCTTTTGAAAGCACGTCTTAGGTGAGTTCGGAGGGGATGCTAAGTCGTGGGGCGATGCGATTAAGGTCTAAATGAGAGAGTAGGAATCAAAAAGTTCAGAGAGAGACAAGATTGAATTTCTATATGTTTCTGTACATCAATTTTACTATTTAACTTCTTCTGTTATTAAAAATATTCGAAACCTATAAATGTCGTTTCTCATTTCTGATTACTGTACCTCCTAATTATATCTCTTCTCAAAAAATGTCATACTATTAAACGATCATTTTTTTTTAAAGCCTAGTCTGTAACGCGAGGGTAACAACGCCCTGAGCGTGAACTTCCTCCAAGAATCTCGGCAACGTTGTCGAACGGACGCCACGGAATTTCGGGTCGGGCGTAGATTAGAAAAGAGAGGAAACCAGTTTTGCCTGAGGTAGGAGGTATCCGAGGTGCATTTCAAGGGTCTAACCTCGATGGGACGACGCGGGTCTCGCCCCATAATCCAGTGCCGTGGCAACTGATTATACCCCACCTCCGGTTTCGACCTTATCCACCCTCGGCTCACCGTGCCCCCTCGAGCCTCCCCGCCCCTCAACAGCCCCGTTCCACCGTCTCCTCTCTCCTTATGCGCCGAACCGCGCCTTCTCATCCGCCGTACCGCCGAGCTTTACGTCAATTAGAATAAGGTTGGCACTTTCGGTACGAAGAGTAATTACTTTAATTAACAAAATGGAGGTAGGTATGCGCGACCTCCGCGCCTCCCTCTGCGCCTCGGCGTTGGCCGCATCGCCGCGTCGTCGTTGCCTCCGCGTGTCTTTTCAATCACGGACATGTATTCACGTAAGTGAGCGTGTGTATAACGCGCGCGTGATGTCGCGGGAGATTCGCGCGACCCTTTCCGCAAGGCAAGTACCAGAAATGTGCGGTGCTCGCATGCACGATTAGACAGACGCGTGGACGGACGTTCGTCCGGCTCATTGGACACCGTACACAGATACTTACACCAGACAACGAAACGTTCCGACCGTTTCATCGTCGCCTGACCAGACAACGACTTATTCTACTTTCATCTACGTCGTTCAGTTCCGAATATTTATTTAGAGGTATTCTTACACGTACCTCTACTATTTTAGCAAAATTTTATTGGGAAGCAACATATTATTAAATTTACGAAGTTTAAAAAAAATATGTAAGAATCGTAATTAGCAGAATTTTTGTAAAACGATTTTATCCAGTTTCCGATGAACCAGAAACGTCGTATACTCGTACACGATCGCGAAAACTACCAGTAAAGTAAGAGGAAGTAAATTGTCGAGCTTCTTACCTATCGTCTTTACCCGTGGGTTTATCGAGAGGTCCGACCGTGTGCTGCGGGGGCGGCATGCTATAGCAGGGTGTCGGCGTGTACCCGGCCGGGATTTGGTAACCGGAAGTCACGGGACCTCCGGGATAAGTTCCACCGCAATTGTAGCCTGCAGTGGGGTAAGGAGTGTACGTGTTGCCAGGGTATTCCGGTTGAACGCCTGTCATTCCGTACCCTGGATGCGGGCTCATTGGTCCGTAGCCTGGGAATGAGAAACATTTATGCAATGCGACCTTATCGATCATTGAAGAACAAGTTACTATTATAAAACATTGAACAGTATTTCGTTCGTACTAAGCTCTAGTTTTTTAAATAGGATTTGTTCACTGATAAACCGAGTATTATGCTTCAACACGAACTTTTATAGATAGCCTTTAAGTAGAAGCTTCGTATTTATACTGAATTTGCTTTGTTTAAATAAATATTAATTGCACGTAAATGCTTGTGACATTATCAGCTCGAGCGTTCAATAATCCGGATGAAATGAACGTCAAAGAAGCGGAGGAGCCTAATAAAAACTGAAGCAACGAGGATATACGTCCACGTGCAGTGCACCCCTTTGCGAGGCGGGTATGCAGCGCATTCCAATTTTATGAAAATCCCGTAATCTCTTACTGAGCAACGAGGCAGAGTAACGAAATAAATAAAGAAGCCTCTCGTCGCCGGGGAAAAATAAAAGTGGCGCGGTGCAGTGGCGGGCGGGTAAGACTAAAAAAGAGGAACCAGAACAAGAAGCAATCGAAAGCCGGACAAAGGTTCGTGGAACGTAAAAGGTCGAAACCGACGCGACGCGACGCGTCGCTTGATTAACCGTTGTAAAATCTACGCGTTTATTTACCGGCAAGAATTCATTTCGTCTGCAGTGCAAATAGCCACCGGACGACGAGGAGCCGGGTGCCGGTGTGTACAGGGCGACGTCGCGTGAACACGTCGACGTCGAACGAACGAACGAACGAAACCACGGTACCGCGCGGTGTGCCACCCAGCGGCAGGCTGTGTGCACGAATGTTTCAATTTCAATAACTACTCCCCAGCGTCGGACTCCGCACAATATTGGCCGCGGCGGACTTTCCCCGCGTACGTGTACGCGAAATATTGATAATTAACAATGGTCGTGTACCGCCACAGGGAGGTGGGTTCGCGGCTGTAGGGATGGGTGCCGGGTTTGGTGCACATCCACACACCCCTGCGAAAAAGGATAAGAGCGAGAGGCGGGGGACGGCTGAACGACGTACGGGTGCAAGGAAGAAAAACCTGGACGACAGGGACACGAGGAGAGAGAATGGGGCTTGTGCTGTAGGTTTGGAATGCTAAAGCATAGAGAGACCGGAGAAAAATGAGAGTCGGGACCATAGGTGCCTATTATGGCAGTCGTGTACTGTTCTGCCGAATTTTTGTTCGACGGTTGTAACCGCGTATCGTTCTCTCTATCGTTCATCTCTCCCAACCGACCGACCACCCCCGAGGGCGTCGAGCTCTTTGTTCTTTCTCCGTATCCCTCTCGTTCACGCATCTCTTCGCTGCACACCTGCCCTCCCACCGCTGTACACGACGTTACACACGACCCAGTGTAGCGGCACGTCGCGTATGTTTCAAGTACCTTTATCCGTAGGTACGTACGTTGGAATTTAGAACGCAGAAGATACGCTCTGTTACATTTACCATTCCGTTTATTTGACGCAATGCTTGTTCAGATAATTTGTTTCGATGTTTCTAGTTAGCGCGTGTAACAGTTTCCCGTTGTTATGCAACGATGAATGGAAGTAGGAGTCTAATTGAATTTTCTTATTAGATCCTAACGTGGGTGGAATATTTTTCGATAACCGAGGAATAAAAAAGAAAATGTACCGTTTAATTTTTAGAAAACCGTCCATGCTGGCAAGCTAACGAGTGTCAGTGAATGAATTAAACGTTCGGAAAACGGAATTGAGTCGCGAGTCACGAAGCAGGTTCGTGAAAAGAATGACGAATTATGCAATAAGTTAGACGATAAACAGTGAAAGCTTACCGGTGGGATCGCGGTAGGCGTCCATGTAGTGGGAACCCCCGCTGTCGGGGGTGCTTTCTCGACTATAAGCCGTGACGTGCACACCGGGTGGTGGGAAGCCTGGCACAGGCCTGATCCCAGGACCCCCGCTGAAATTGACCGGCTCGTTCGCCGTCGAGAAGTCAACGGGCTCGGTTTGCTCCTCGATTGGTCTGGGCGCCGGGAATCCGGGTCCAACGGGAACCGCCACAGCCTCCCCGTGGCCGGTTGGGTATTGGGGACTCGGCGCGCCGCTATAATCAGACGAAGATGATCCACGATTTAATATTACACCCTCATTTCGCATTCCACTTTCTTATTTTATTTTCCTTTTATTGAGACGAAAATATCACTGATTAAAAAGCTTCTTGAATATTTATTTTTAAAAACATGAAAAGTTACTTATTAAAAAAGAAATAGGAATTAGGTGTTGATCACCTGTGAAGCCTGTTCACGCTGAGATCGAGGGTCTGTCCTTGCGGGCTGGGAACCTGAGGGCTAGCAGTCAGATGCGGACTCGCTGCAGCTTGAGGACTCCCTCCTACTGTCTGTCCACCGCCGTATTGAGGACTGAGGCTGTTGGAACCATACGGTGGCGCCTACAACAATTATCATTAAGTTTAATTAAGAACATTTTTGATATCACGCAATTATTCCGACTTCTGGAATAAATGTTCACCTGAGGACTCGTCGACGTGACGCTGGAGGTGGACAGGTCCATTACAGAGCCACCGGGTGATGTCGGAGGGCCACCAGGCTTTTGCATTTGCTGCACTTGCGCCACTGTGACACATTTTACTGAAAGATATAACATCATTTACCAAGTGTTTCATATAATAATTAATTAAGATCGGAACGGAACGAGAGCTCACCATCCTCGGTCTTCATCATTCCAGCTGCGGTGGCAGCAGCCATCGCCATCTGATGCTGTTGAGCAGCAGCCGCAGCCTCTTGATGATACACTCGTTCCTGTTCCTCCGGTGTCATTCCAGTCTGTCCCAGGTAATACATGTTCGTCCTAGAATGCAGCTGTTGCTGCTGCTGTTGCTGTTGCTGTTGTTGCTGTTGCTGCTGCTGTTGCGACTGAATAGGTGCACAATTCTGGGTATCGTATCTCTCGTACGCGGACGTGGTGCCAGGGTCGTACGGTCGGTGATTAGCCGCGCTGACTACCGCATTTTCGTAACCTCTTGCGTTCGCGATCTCGTTCGAGTAGGTGACGACCGGCCGCGCGATGTTGCTCGCGCCAGGGTGCATGTACGCCCTCGCGTGTTCCGCGGATCTGTGATGGTACAATTCCTCGCTGGTGGTGGCCGCAGCAGCAGCCGCCGCCGCTGCGGCCATCATAGCCGGCTCGTAAGGAGATCTCTGAGACATCTGATGACTCATCCTAGTGTCTTCGACCATTGGCATGGGATAAGCCACTGTCGGTTGCATGGGCAAGACGTGGTGCGTCGGGTGCTGACTCGGATGATGTATCGTCGCTCCGATGGTTCCCCTTGAGCCCATCGCGTCCATCGACGACAACGACGAGGAGTTCGAGTCTTGATTCATGTACGAGTCATAAGTCGGCCGCACTGTGGGCGGCGGCGGTGGCGGGGGTGAATTAACGCGACACGAGCCGGCGTCCTCCGACTTGGGCACTAACAGGTCGGACGTGCTCTGGCCTCTTGTCGGCAGAGTGTTGCAGCAACTACCGCTCGTCATGTTCTCGGTTTTAGGGACCACTTTGCTCGTACGGGACGAGGGACTCTCCTCGGGAGTTTTCGGAGGTTTTACGTTGATCCCCGTGCTCTTTGTCGTCGAGTAGTAGTCGTAGGTCAGGCTGCTTAACACCGGTTTCGTGTCCTGACCCGAGGACCCGTACTGGGAATAGCTCTTGCTGTCCATTGACGGTGGTAACAGGTTCGTACTTATATACTCTGGCGGAATCCCAGACACTGTTGCGAGAACACAACGCTTAGACTTAGACTAATGCCTCCTTGCTGTCGTAATATAGATTATAATCCGAGCAGCATTACAAGAATCATGCTAAGTTTATAAGTCTCGCGTAATTATGCTTATGCGAATGAAAAAATATGAGGGGCGATAACAACGATTGAATGTATCACCACATTGTCTACAATATAATAGCAGGTTGGGATCGGGAAGATTTCTTTGAACGAAATTATAATTAAAGGACAGCTCGACGCGTGGATTTTTTCGGGCGAATTCCGGGCACGTCTGGAGGCCTATCGTTCGCCTTACCTTGAGCCTTATGTCGCGCCTCGCGTGCGGCTTGCTTATTGGCCGCTGCAATTGGACATCCGGACAAACTCCTGTGCGTGTTCCGATTCGAGCTGACATGGCCACGGCCGTTGCAACCAGGCGTCGGGCATTTCAAAATAGTCTCATGCATCGCCAGAACTACGAGAACCCAGAGACACGTGGCGTAATTACAGAGCGAGTCATTCCGCTTCCTCTGACAAAATTCTTTTCGTTTATATTTATTATCTATCGAACGATAATTAAATTAGAGGCCACGCATACGTAGACGCACTCACACCAAGATGCGATCGGCAGAATCGAGTTCAAATTTTAATTCGACTCTCTCTTATGCGTTGAGTATAATCATTATTATTATTATTATTATTATTGTCGATAACACGGTCCGTTTCGTACGGCGACGATTCTCGCGTCGGCTTGTCTCCACCGATGAACGAAAGATGTTGTGTATAATAAAGAGAAACGGAGGACAGAACAGAATATAGAGAAAGAAAAACGAAGAGAGACAGAGACAGATATAGATGGGGGTACACAATGTCACGGGATAAAATACAAATCAAATGTGTACAATTAAGTATACCGAGCGGGTAGAGAGAAACTCAAGTAACAGACATAATCGATCGAGTGACAAAATTATAAAACAACTTGCGACTTTTGTGTGCCGTGACGAGATTCTTCTGTGTTTTGATTTCATTGATAAATCGTGACTATTTCGTTGGTAGTGAAAAATAGTTATAACACTGAATAGCCAAGATCGTTTCATTGGGTGAAACGTATTGATTCGACAAAGGGGTCGTTCGTCTGATGAATGGGGACCGTGTCACAAGAGTGTGGCGATCGCCGTCCCGGTCCAATTATACTCAATCGCACAAGATCCACCGTTCGGACCCGGCTTGCGCGCATCACGCATATATTATGGGATAATGTATAATATCATGCTGGCCCCGCACCGCCGCCCCGTGTCTCGAGTTCTCCAGATGTTCGTAGGTACGGCCAACCAAATAACCAAGTTCAAGTGTGGTGATAATTCTCTAACTATTGATTAAACTACAAACAGAACGGTATAAATCAAGACGGAAGTGAAAAACGCAATGAATAAAGCTCTCTACCCCGCAAACGAAAAAGCACAAAGAATATAAACAGACAGACACATAGACACACATAGGCCGGACACGGTTTCAACGAGCCCGTATTCTTTTCATTAGTTCGACTATATCGCAACGTGAAAAATTAAATTAAATACACTATCGAAATCGTCAGTTATTGTATATCTCGTTTTATACTCTCTATTTATTTAATTCAGATTTTCAGTCTTGCCGCAAATGGAATTTTTCCCGGTGTAAAACGAAAAAGTTTGTTCAGCCGTGAGAGTCGGTTCGGAACGCAAATTTCGATCGCGTCGCGAGCTTCTAGAGATCGTGGCCCGATTAAAAGAAACCTGCTACCGCTGGAAAATAATTACAGTCGTTCACGCTCGTTCACTCGCCACTCCCTTGCCCTGTATCGCGTGAAAAAGGCAGTCTCGCAAAAAGAAGATGCATCTATGTAACTACGATAAGAAGTAACAATCGTGGCGCCGATCGGCGATTACTTACTCTCTGGCGTCAGTTTATCCTTTCGTGGACAACCGGATAGGCTGGAATCACATTATTCAATTATGAAATATAGCTGTTAAATAATATATTAAGTGTTGCAACGTCTGGTAGCTGACTCAATTAACAGAACACATATAATTGCAGTTAAGATGAGAATGAAATATCTATTCCAACGTTCAGGAGAAAATTACACAATATTTCAAGTTTTAGTCAGTATAAGGTGATCGATATGTTTCCTACGTTGATTATCTATTCCCCAATGCATACATGATTCGGTAACGATATGCCAAATAGATCTGCCCAATGTTGGCACACCGTTTCGCCGGTGTCGCAGCGTGTAGGTGTCTAATCGACCAGGCCAAAGTGCAGAGCACAGGTTAATTACCGATAATTGCTTACCTGCGGTGGTGAGAGTAGAGTCCGGTCACGTGACCCTGCCCCGTGCAGCCTGGGGTCGGGCACTTGTTGCCCTCTGTAACAAATCAAGCCACGGCGAACGGTCAGATTTCGTACAGGTTGATTAACCCTTGCAACGTGTTTTGTAAAGAGTGTAAAATTGTTAATTGTTATAATAAAATTACTGAAATAGAATATTAAAACGCTTTATCTTTTTATTCATTCAGGGTAAACAGTGTTTCCATTCTGTTTCAATTTGCAAAAATTGCAAAAGCAAAATGTCAATTCTATTGGTAGTAAAGTTCAAAAAATTGTGGGAATTATTTCAAGGTAATTGTCGACAATTGATGCGATAAGGCACGTCAGTTTCAATTCACGCATCCATTTCGAATCGACGGTATTATGCCGTTTAATTAATATCGATTACGCAACGCGTAATTGTAATATCGAGAAAATCGAGACTCGTCCGTTTAATGATTGCAACGACCAGCGTTTGAACGTGGATGAATTACGAATTCGTGGCGTGAAACGACGTGAATACGACGGGAAAGTATTATTACCGCGCTTCGTTTTTATAACACCGGGCTGGGTCTCGCGTTCGAACGTTCACTTTCGCTTTGGTAATCGAACGAACCTCGGGAATCAATATTTTAAGCGGAAACATTGGTGTGTTGACAGGCCGCAGCCTTTTTGTAAAGGGAATGTGAAACGCTCCCCCTCGGCACTGGTTTTTCGATAATGTCTTCGGTTCGTCGTCAATTGTAGCGGACATTTGATATTAGAAGTTGTACTTTTATTTTAATTTCTTTATTAGTCGGGAATTATTTTTATTATGGTATTTAATATTGCATATAGAAGTTTGTTACAATAGAGATGGAAGGTGTGTGTAATTTTTTTTAAATTACTTTTATACCGAAGTAATCAGAAATGCAAAGTAATTACTACTAATAAAACCAAGAATTTTTAATAAATCAAAGGAAAAGCCCGACAGGAGATATTTTTCCGAGTATCTACAGCCGTGCACGGAATTCAACGAGAATTAACCATGGGATGGATGACAAGCTCTGTATCCGACACCGTGCATCGTCGTAGAAACTGGTGTGTTTCAAGTTTCCCGATATTCATGTATACTTCATGTGTTCCTTGCTCGGATCGTTGAACCTGGTAAATAAACCAGCCGCTTATTGCTGGATATTTCTATTTTAAATTCTCCTACACTGTATTGGATCTTCTGCATTTAGGCAATCGAGAACACATGGTTTCTTGTCACATAAATATTACAGTGACCGTTCAAAACGTATTTAAGGGAATTGCAATGGGAAAAGAAATTTTAGCTCGTGTTAATATTGTGTTCAAGGATATCAGTAATAACTCTGTCGTTTAACGCAGCAATACCGTTTTAAAAGTTCGGGAAAGTTTAAATGAAAACGGACAGGCTGCGGCCAGTGGTGATATCCGGGGGTCTTGTCACACGAGTTACGCGTTCGCGAATAACCGCCGGGATTTCTCTGTCCCGCACCTAAGCTTCGGGGATTAGTACCGCGTATCCGTTAGACCTAAACCGCCCCGCGCGGAGCAAACGGTCTCACATTATCGTCGGTTATCACGGAATGAAAATGTCAGTCTCCTGCGAAACGTGCAGCACGCTTAGCATCTTCCCAAATAAAAATGCAATTCATACTAATCAATAGCGCACACTAGAATAACACTGATAACACGTTTCGAGTCTGTATAAACTCTTTCGCAAAATAATTTAAGATCCCGGTAATCCGTATTGTCCGGGCGATAGCGCGTCGCAGGTGAAATTAATGTCCTGAAACTTTGAGAAATTTTTTTCCTCCTACACTGTTTTTCTCCCCCTTGATTCTTAGTGTTCTTGCACGCTGTCACGAAATTGCATCGGGGGCATGCTCAAGCAACCTGTACCATCTGTCGTGCGCTGGCTGTAACTTAATGGCTGGTATGGCGCACGTCACGTATAATCGCGTTCGTGTTCTCAGGGTGACCTCGCGTGACCAGACAATTACAGGTTTCCAGTACCGCTCTATACGGCCCAGAAGTACCAATATCGCTTAGGATGAGACCGAGCTCCCGCCGCCTCATACCGCGGTGTTGATTTTAACAATTTTTCACCGAACAATTCTTTTCTGTACGCCGATTAAGATGAGATTAACGCTCGGGTTTCACGGTGCTGGGTTCACAGGTTCGGTGAAAACTATAATTCTGGTAATTAGACCCCGTGATACGTGTAATAGGTCCTCGCCGAGGACCGCTTTCACTCCTAGTTAACACCGCACACTATAACTTTGATGAGAGTTCGTCGGTCGCGATAAAATTGCGTTTGCAATTATTTATAATATACGTCGAAGATCGTGTCACTCCAGTTCAGTCAAGTTTCCTCAGCGAGATTGTTCTTTATACACATTTATTTTCTGTCGTATCAGATAATTGGATTACTATTACATATACGTAATTTACTATGTAACATAAAGTATATAGATAAACATTTATTTCCTATGTCGCATTCTTCTCATACTGATTTTTCCCAAGCTGAGAAGAAATATAAGAATCCTATAACTCTAATCTAACGTATTAATTCATTTCGTCCCTTTCAGGGTTAATTCCCATTGATTCGACGTTTCTTAACGCGAAAAGCTCCGCGATGACGTGCCGTAGCATAGGTACGTTCGTCACGCGTGCGGAGGGGTTTCGGAAAAGGGATTCCGAAGGAACGAACCTTAAGGGGAGGCCAGCTTTAGGTTAGTTGCGTGGGCTTCCCATGGAGTGAGCGCACTTTTATAAACTTTGTCGTGCACTAATCCTCCGCCGGGCCGCGCCGACTCCGTTTCCCTGGCCAACCGTGTGCTATACCCTAGCCACGAAACGGCCGCCACTACGCCCCCGCCTGAGAAACTTCATCAGACCGTCATTTCGCGTCCGAGAAAGAGACTGAAAGAGTCGATCCCTGCGCTTAGGCCAGGTCCACCTTTCCTGCTAAATTGGATTACGATACGTGACCTCATTAGCGACATACTTTATTCGCGGGACCGGAGAAACGCGAGATGAAACACGCGGCGTTCCTGTTTCATGCTGGCATTGGAACATGAGAACCCAGGCGGTAGATATTAACGGAATGAAAAAATGTACGAATCTCGCTTTTGACCCGCGAATACTACAGGTTTTTTCTAATATTTCATGGCGGAGATGGAATGCCCGTACAAGTGGAAAATGGTTGGTAGTTACAGAGATGGTATGCATTGTGAATGAGTATCTCGTCAGAGTTATAATTAGTAAAGGTACATAGTCTCCGTTTTAAATAAAATAATTACAAAGCACGAGCGTAACTTTTGTTACTGTGTTAAGTAGTATAAGGCATTATGTAGTCAGACATGGCTCGAGTCGTTCTCGACTAAAAATTGAATACTCTAATTCCACATGATCCGTTCCGTCTAAACATTATCAACGCCTTCTATTGTTTTTTTGTATTTCAATAATTCTAAGTTGGGAACTAGCGAAGAACGATGAATGGGATTCCGTGTGCTTTTTAATTAGCGGCTGGTTAAAAAACGGGTAAATGAGGGCGAGAGCGGTCGACCGCTGGCAGGATTAATAAATTAGCCGTAAGGTTTTAAAACGGCCGGCGGCCGGCGCCTAAGCTCCATAAAAAAGAACGGGCAAGAAAGAGGGAGATAGAAGGGAGGAACGAAGGGGCAGATAATGGTTCCGGTCAACAAAATGAATACCGGCACACGCTGTTCTTTCCGGATCTCTGAATAGACTTGTAACGAGTCGGTCAGACCTCTCTTCGCTTTTTTTTCCATCCTCTTTCTGTAGCGCTCCGTCATGGAGCCACGTTCTATCGCCGTATCTTTTTCTACGGGATCCCGTGACGGGATGGCGTGAGCGGGTCAGAGGAAAAGAGGAAAGAGAGGACGAGATCCAAGGGGTGAGAACGAGGATGAGAGGAGCGGTGAACGGCAGCGTGCGAGGGTGGAGGCCGCCGTGGCCGAGTGTGTAATTCTGTTATTTTGTTGCCATTTCACGTGAGGGTCACCGCGGTAGGGCCAGAGGTGTACATAAACACCAGGATTGTTTTATTCATTCGGCCCGCTGCACGACGCGACGCGTGCCGAATTCTTCTTTCGCATCTTTCCTACACTTATCCTCCCCTTCCTCGTTCTCTCTCTGTTCGTCGTATTTTTCTGCTCACCGTGTGCAAACGTGCCGAAATCGGGGCCGCCCTCGTCGATTGAGACTGCCGTTAAACGTACATACGCGTTCGTATAATTAATCGATGGACAGGCTTGAATGTACATGCATGGCAGCAGCGACTAAAGAAGCGCATATTTATTTTAATCAACCGATACTAGGGTGACATCGTCGCCGGCTTCTTTTAATCGTCGAAGGAGGGTGAGCGCGTAAGGAAAATATCTTCGAGCTCGATACTGTCTTAAATAAATTTAAACTCTGACGAAAGCCAAGGATCAATAAAGTAATAATAGAGACTGAGTAGGTTCATAGTTCAGATGTCAAACGCGATCGTATGAGATAATTATATGGGCCGAGTAAATCGCGAATTGTTGTCGGACTTAGAACGGGATCTTAGAGCGCACCAAGTATGAGGTGAAGCATTCTAAAAGAAGAGAACAGCTCCGGGAACAATCACGGGGTATTCCGTATTTACACACGGCGTAGCGCGGCCGTAACGCGTCGAGGGTAGAGCCCCTGCGCGCGAGTAAAGGTCCTTTTTATGCGTGCGGTCGCAAAGGCAGCGTAAAATTGAGTTACAGGGCAGTTTATTTTTTTATTAGCCAGGGCAACCCTGCCTGCCTGCCTGGCTGCCGCGCGCGGTTTCAACGCGGAAAGGGTGGTTTTTGCGGCCGACGGATTTCCCGATAGCGGTTTTATGGCGTGTCAACACGCTCTCACGCCGCGCTGCCGAGCCACGCCGTGCCGCGCCACGCCGCGTGTGCGTCGCCGGGGTGTCGAGTAAAAAAGGAAGGAGGAATATAAAAAAGAGAGACGGAGGTAAAAAAGAAAAAAATGCGAGGAAGGAAGGAGTGAGGCGCGCGCACGCGATCCTGTCGCTAAATCGAGTGCCTCGGGAATGAGCCTGCGATTAAAACTGTATTGCGCTGTCGATGCGGTGCGGTGGGGTCCGGCACGCCTGTACTACCTCCGTCACGCTTGTAAGTATGCGATTAATCGTGCCCACTTATCACAGCCCACCGTTTATTCGCCGAGATTTCCGTCCAGCTGAATTGCCCAGCCCCTATCTACGTCCACGGATCTATTCGCGATCGACCGTCCACGACAAGATTGACAGGTGCCGGCGACATTTTTCGACCGCGAATATTACAAGGCGCACGAGAATTTTTTTACTCAGTCCATAAAATATTTCTTATGCCCGTGCAATTTTTATAATAGATAACGGAGCTGATTAATTGAAAAGAACAGATAAATGAATTTCGTATACTCGAATTAAAAAGAAATGTTAAGAAGAAGTCGATATATCTGGGCAGTAGATAAAGCTTATCGATGAATGTCGTTAAAAATCGTCTCTATATCTCGAAACCGTCTGCGCCAATTTTCATGGTGACACGGAACAACGAAGATTGAATTTTTGAACTGTTCATCTCCGCAGCTTCAGCCGGAGAAAACGGTAAGGGGATAATGAGGACAGGCAGCAGAGCCGCACGGTGGTAATAAGGTAGCGGCGGTATGGCTGGGATGCTAGTCACGTTTCTAGCTGCTGACAGCTGCGGCTTATACGTATGACGTGGTATCAACCCCAAATTTCCCCGCCTAGGCACATCGTGTCATAGCTGCCCTAAGACTCAGGAATGCACTCGAGCTCCCCACCTGTCACACCATGGAACAACTCCCCCATTGGTGCGCAGGGAGTTTTCCCTGTTTTTCCTCTTTCCCTTTTTCATCGTTCAGTTTATCTCAATTGATCCCTTCAGTGATTCAATTCAGATGACAAACTAAACTTCATATGACTGTTGATAACATTTTTTCACACAACGTACATTTAAGTACGCTATCTTGCAGAAAATAATGAATGGGGAATTTAATTCTATAAGATTAGGACAATTAAAGTTAAATAAAACTTGTGTATATTATAATATACAAGCAGTGTGGAATATAACTATTTTAAGAATGGAAAGAATATTAAAAATGATCTCGAATACGGAGATCGAACGAAAATTAGAATAAACAAATAGCTCAGTTTAGAGAAAAGTGATAGGGAAATAGGGACAAAATATCTACATAAATGGCACCGGCTTAAAGCACGGAACTATAAAGAGTATGTGCGCGGACGAATGTATTAAGTTCAAGTTTCGCCGCGTGTTGTCAATCATTGCGATGATCGCATCGCAACGCGTACCTCCGTGATCAAGCGAATAGTTTCAAAGCTTCGGCAAAGACGAAGACAAAGTGGCTGTAGCAGAGGATACGGAGAATAACTTTACTTTGAGAGACCTTGATTTCACCATTTGAGTCATCGCCCCTCGCTTCGTAATTATTGATTTTCCGTGCTACCCTAACTCCCCTAACTTCATAGAGAAAGCACGAGACAGCGAGAGAGTATGTGTGCGCGCGAGATAGAGAAACGTTGTCAGTGGAGGAAGAGTACAGCAGGCGGGAGACCCGAGTCGAAAATGCCTTTTGTCCCCCTTTCGCGTAACGCACGGACAGTAACCCCACTGGCACGAGCGTTCGGCTTTATCAATGATTTCACGAATGCCTCCAGCGCGGTTCCATTTTCGTAGCGAGGTCCTCACGGACCACGAAATAAGATAAAATGCCGTTCGTATATTTGCAGTCGTTAAAGTCTCGACGGGTTACGCGAGCCAACGTTACGCGGTCTGTTCCGAATGATCCTTGAATCATTCCACGGGAATCCATGATAGAGGACAGCCCGTAAGAATAACCGATGCAGCATCTCGTAAATTCCAATGAGATTACGGTACTTATACGAGACAGGACATTGGAATTCTCACCTCTGCTGAGACTGGACGGAGACATGGACATTCCCGGCCTGTTTGAGTCGAAGGTGCCGGACCTTTCCGGCATTTTCATCACATTCTCCTGCTGCCCCGTACTCGTACCAGCTACAGATGACGCGGCGGCACCGGTCGTAGGGCTGGACGTCGTTGTACTGGTCGAAACCGGAGTCACGGCGATACTGTTCGTCGCGCTGCTCCCGTTTACGTTGTTGCTCGAATTAGTGTTGCTCGCGTTACCACTACCGTTGCTGCTCGTAGTTTTGCTCGATACGTTGCTGCCACTGTTACTGTTGCTACTGTTGATACCGTTCGGCGAGCTGTTGTTGCTCGTGCTAGAACTGCTGACAGCTGTCACACTGACCACTCCCTCTCTGGCTATGTCCTGAATGGCACTGGCGGCTCTGGAGCCGATACCAGCCGGCTGAAGAATCGTATACTGTTTCGAGGAATCAGGGCTAGTGACCGCGGGCATACTGCCGGTGGGACTCTTATTGCTCGTCACGGTGTTCGGTGGTACTTCGTGCCTCGTCACGTGATGCGTCTCCTCCTTCGACGATTTCAACTGCAACAGCGACACCGAGTTGGCGTGTTTGTCTTCGGCGGTGGGCGACATCCCAGTAACAGGTTGCGGCGTTGGCATCGTCGGCCCTGGACCAGCAGCGGGATACCCGACGAAGGTGGCCGATGCTGGGTACGGACCCATCGGTGGGATCGTCGGTGCCACAGACACCGATGCACCGCGATTAGATTTCGAGTGATCCGAGTTCGGTGGCCTGAACGCCGACGTAGCCGAGAACGGAGAATTCGTCGGAGGCGAAGAAGAGGAGGTGGTAGTTGCGGTCGGGGAGACCTTCGCCCCGTTCTCGTTGTACTGTCTATGATAATTCGAGTACAACTGCTGATGGTGTTGGTGCTGTTGCTGCTGTCTCCCAGGCCCTTGCAAAGTTTGACCGTTCCTACACGTGCGGTCTCTGTCCCTGTCGTTCATTTTATCCCTGTCAGCATCGTCTTTCTCAGCGGTAGGATCCGACATGTCGATCTCCAATTCGTTCGACGAATCGTCGACCAATTCGTTGAAGTCGGGCGGATCGTATCTAGAGTATTTATCCGTTTGTCGACCCTGAGCATCCACGTGAGCACCGATGACGTTCCTCTCGTTTCTGTCTTTGGTCGACAGCGATCTGACGGGCACCGGCCTGATTTTTCCCTGCTCGTTCGCGTTCACGTTGTTCACTTGGCTTTGAACGTTACCGCACTCGTTCTCCGATTTCAATAAGCTGTCCAAATCTTTTCTCACTTTGCCCGGATGCTGTTGAAGTTTCATCGCGTCTCTCATCTGCTGTTGCGCCTTGCTGCCCCTGTCTTGTTGGCCGCGGAACGATATCACATCTTTCAGAGCCTCGTTGCTCGTACTCGAGGAGGTCGACATCGAAGACGGTGACAGTTTAGGATTTTCTTTCTTCTCCTCGAACAAGTTTTCGAAATTCGATTCGTATTTGTCCTCGTCCGAGTTGCCTCGATGATACAAAGAGCCTCTCGGGCCGGGCCAGCTTCCAGAGAGGCTCTTCAAAGCCGCTTCGGTTTCTCTGATCAGCGTTTCGTCGTCTTCTGGTTCCTCCGAGTGTTTACTAGCCTTCCTCGCCGGGCTACCCGAGTTTCCAGCGGTGAATGCTCGCTTCTTCTGTGGCAACGGTATATTTTTACTCGCGTCATTCGAATCAAGCGATTTGCGGGTGTCATCGTCGCGCACGCTTTTCCTTCTTCGCTTAGCAGCAGCATCAGCTGTCTCCATTTCTTGTGGAATGATTTGCGCAGCCTTCTTGTTGGTCAACGGTTGCTGCTGATAATGTTGTTGTTGTTGTTGCTGCTGCTGCTGCTGTTGCGGCTGCTGTGGTTGCTTAGGATTGGGGCTGACAGATTCTGCTTCCAGCTTCCGTTTTTTGAGATGAGCCATCGCATTCTGGCCACCCGGCACGCTGGTCAGTTCCACCCTGGAACACAAAAATTCCAGAGGATCAAGAAATCTGCTTTCTCATAGCGGACGCATGGATGCGGTGAATTTTTTTTTTGTTTTTGTTTTGTTTTGTTTTGTCTGATCAATGAGTGCAAGCTGGTAGCTCAACGTCGATCGACATACAACGAAATCAATTCCCGTTAGCTGGGCAACAGAAGATCTGTCAGTTCCAAACAATTCAGACCACCCGTCCCGTGTTCTCCGATCGGATCTCTATCCTTTTTCTACTTTCTCTTCGCTGTTCTCGTTTAACCTATTGTAAACTCGTTTTCTCAAGAAAATTCACCTGAAAGTCGTCTAGGTCCGTCGAGGGCATCGCCCCGAGTCCTGGGACCCTTTCCATCCAGTTGACAGCGTCTCCGATCTTCCGGGCGAAAGAGATCTGTCAGCAATCGCAATTCTCTTCGAACAACAACACTGTGTATCTCTCGAATATCGTTATCGTCCTACGATTACTAGAAACGCGCACGCACTCGATTGGAACGACATACACAAGCGCGCGCTCGCGTGTTCACGCACCAGTGTCACGCGTGCTCCTCCGCCGAGCCGATATATATACGTCTAGCAAACGGATCAGTTTTTGCGTCGCACAAGTGCGTGGAGTGCCCTTCCGCGCAGGGTGCTCGCGAGCTACTGTGTACTATGTTTAAGTTCGTCGGGGGGTGGCGATCTTCCAACGACCTCCGGAGGGGATGAAAGCTTGCGCGAGCAACCGGCGGTCTTCTGCTTCGCCGCGAAAAGTGGGGGCGGGTTCTGCGCACTGTCCACCCCCTTTTAGCTTTAGCCGGAACGCGATTCCCCGGCCTCTCAGCACATCCCCCGTAGAGCACTCTCACCTCTCGCCACCCACGTAGGTGAGGTAGTAGGGGACACGGCCCCGGGGTGCATGCACACCAAGGTGTATTCCATTCAGTGTGTTGGGCTACGTGCGCCGGTACACATTCGGCCCCTTACACTCACCCACATTTTAGCACCCGTCGCCACCCTCTCCGGCCGAGCCAGTCCGTCTCCCTGTCGACCTACGTGTGCTACCTGGTCCTCTTTCGCCGCCTTGAGAGAGTACCGCCGTAGCTTGGTCCCGGCCAGAGACCTCCGGTCGACCCGTCTATTTTTTTTACGTCTTCCGCCATCGGGTGTGCCTCGGCGTAGCGAGCGACGTACAATTCAATTGGAATTAAACTGCGAGTAACGTGCAAACGGCTTGTGATCGTCGCTGTATTTAATTATCGCCTTTTGATTATCCCTTGTAACGTTCACCATTTACAGCGGTAATTACATCGCCGAGCGATACAATTCAATTGCAACTATTATTTAAACTTGTATTTAATGCTTTGGGAAATTGAATACATCACTGTTAACAGTAATGTGTGTATTGTTTTATAATAAATATTTATACGAACAAAATGTTAGTGTCTTTAAGAAATGCATGTTATCCTCGAGTTGACTGCATCCGTAGCCGAGTAGTCGTTCGCAGCTATCTTTGGACGACACTTATCGATCCGTTATGTAACAAAACCTAGCGTGCACGTCGCCTAGCCGAATTCGTCTAGACCGGGGCAGCCTGTTTTCTCTTGCGATCTCGCGAAAATATATTTTCAATCGACAATCAACGCCCGAGCCGGGCGGGTCGCACGGTTTAGAACGATAACGAGAAACCGGCACTCGAATTAGATAAACCCAGAGAGCCGAGGTACAGGAAGAAGAAGAAGAGCGGGATCAGCGCGAGCGCTTAGCGGGAGCTTTCAAGGATCTCGGGAGTGAGAGGGCTTTCCTTAAATCCTAAACCCTCCTTTAGACCGCGGGAAGCTGGGAGAGTTTAGAGCAACGAACTCCTAGAAAGGACCGCGGGAAGAGAATGCCTCTCCCACCCCTGATTAAAATCGGAAGTTAAATCGCACTGACGGCTTAAGACATTATCACTTTTCTTTACCGGCCAGCTGGCTGGCCGATGATCATTGGTCCGGCAGTCGGTGTTCGAGAGTTTGCGAGCTAAACGAGCGGTGGAAAGAGAGAAACGCGGCTGATGCCCAAGAAAGGAAGAGCTCGAATCCCTTCCAGTTAGGGATCAATGCTTCCTCGTCCACCCTCCAATTACGTGTCATCCCTTATGGCCTGTGGGGAATAATTAGAAAGCAGCCCTTCTCCTGACCCCCGAGTACCTACGTCCGTGGACCTGGTATCGCGGAAAGATTGGTTTCGTTTTCGCGTCCGAGGAAAATGTCACGTCCGCTGTTAAAGTCTCTGGGTCTCTCGGAAATTGGTCAGGCGACGTACGCTCATGACGTTTGATAAAAAAAATCTCACACGAAGATAAAAATCCGATAAAAAGGATCTCAAATATGTCAAATATAATTACGATAATTGATTATTTTCTCGATACTAATGAATGCACGGGAAGTTTCGTTTGATGATTCGTTCAAATAAGTATTAAGACACACGTAAAAGTCAGTGTACACTGTCAAGCACTTGGCTCGAGCAGGATACGTTTGGTATTCGGTCTGGGTTGACTGATAACAGTCCCACCCTCCCGGTAGACATGAAGATTCTCGACACCTCAAAATCCGTACTCGTCAATTAATTAGCAAGTGCCGTTCGTAGTAGAGGAGATGGTTACCCAGGAACACGAGGCTGCAGAGGCGGACGATGGTGCCTCCGCTGAAGGGATTAGAGTATTAGGCGACGTCACGTCACTGGAGTCTAAAGGAGCCTCCTTGGAACTGTGCTCTCGGAGATAGCCCAAACTTACACACCCAGCATCACCCCTCCGTCTTGCCGATGGTTCTTCAGGTACTCCCTGCTCCTCGTCGTATACTTTCCCTCTCTGTCCTCGCTTCCGTGTCCTGAACGTTCTCTCTCTTCATCTTTTGGCATTGCCTCGCTACCGTCCTGGTGTCCTTCCAGCCCTCGACAATTCCAATTAGATAAATCACCGTAGGATCACAGTACTCTCAGCGGTGTGTTTGGAATTATGTCGGTCTTCAGATTTATGATTGGAAAACATTTTCAATGAAGAGGATTGTTTAAGAAATGAACGCAGCTCCATATACTCGTCTGTTTTTGTGTACCGAGGGATAAGAATGACTTCGGTCACACCTCCTCTGCCCGAGCAGCCACCACGAAGGGTGTTCTCGCGAAAGGAACTCGTACATCTTTTTCTCGCCGACGTTTAAGGGACGGGAGAGGTCGGCGGTAGGCGAATGCCGGATAATTTAGGGGTCTCTCACGCGTGGATAATGGGGAACTTGGCTAATGCACCCCACTTGGCACCACGTGGATTCGCGTGAGTTTTGCGACTCAGACTCTTCTCTCTTCTTCTTCTTAAACGCTTAAACGAAGGCGCAACATAACTGTGGAACAAAGGGAACAGATCCCAAACAATTTATGCGTCCGATGTAGTTATATCCTGCTAGCTATTCCCCATTAAAACGAAATTTATTTTCCTCTACACGTTCACTTACTACAATTTTTACAAAATAAAACAATGCAAATTTTTAAATACAACGAAATCCGCTTGAAATATTCGTCGAAAACATGAGAGAACTCTGAAGTCGTAGGAAACGTTAGAAAATTTTATATAATGACGGCAGAGCAGTAGAAGCCACGATCGTCTGACCATTGACGATAGTATTCCACTGAACAGGATAGCAGCTCGAGAAACCTAACGAATTGGCTTTATTTCCAAGGGGATCCGTCGATGCTGGCTCTGTTCTCTGTCGAGCCGCTATTCACAGCGAAGGGTGGATTTTAAAGCGTACTCGTGTCGTGGCATCAGCGCAAACGGAAGAAAGAACGCTGCGACTGGGCCAGCTGTCCGATTCGGACATCGCGCCGGCTCTGGGGAATACAACTCCCCGTTTCTCCGCTAACTATCTGCCCTTACGTCAACCACTTCGCCCTCTCCTCCCTATCTTTTCGCATCCACCTCGCCAGCAGCGCTCTCCTGCCCTCGGCGGACTGACGTCTTAAAGCAATCGAATTCTGATAAAATATTTAGCGCTGCCGGGGCTAACGCTTTAAGTGGCTCCTACTTCCGTCGCTGGACCTGCTCGGGAAGCGTCTTACATCGTTGTCCCGTTCCATCGGGTTTCCTCCTCCACGCTGGTGTAAGTGACCTTAAGTGAGAAATATACGTCCCCTATTTTTGGAAGTTTTAAGTGTACACCGGTTAAGAGCGATTTCGATGACGTTTGTCGTAAACTCTTTGACGGTAGAAACGAATGGTAAAAAGTATTTCTCGTATTCTTTTTTCAACTCAACTTATATGGTTCTTCAAAAGTTTGAACCTCGTCAAGGTTGCGATGGTCACAGCTCGAATGTTCTTTCGTGACACAAGAGATTGGTCCGGAGATTTTTGGTTCGATTGATCGAGGTCGAACGGATCAACCGCGGTCCAAGGCGGAGGTCGCCTTTTTTGTCCCTTTCAGCACACGGCAATACGTCACGCGTCCCGGTTTCGGGGCGTAATTAAAGAGAGCGCAGAACAGCATGACGCCTCGGGCCTGTCTGGGGTAAGGAGCGGGGCGAGACGAGCCCCCGGCCCCGAGGGCGGGCGTGGGGTATAAGGGATGTGTTTTACCGAGGGATACTTATACCATCCCTACGCGGCACATATTTTCATATAACAAAACCATCTGCGTGCCGCGCATAACAAATTTCAACTGATTTATAGTGAGCGCCGGGCTAGGTGGGCGCAAATTTTCGCAGTTACGTCGACCTCGACGCTGCTCTTCAGCCACTCGGTCCAGTCGCTGCCCCCTTCGATTTATATTCCCGTTATTTTCTCTTATTTCAGCATACAGCGATAGTGAATAATTCCACTAAATATCATAATGTCCCATTAGCATAATTACAGTATCAACAATTGGTCAATTAAAAGTTTGAATAATTCAATGCTCTACGATGAAGTACAACTTAAGGATGTCTTGGCTATACAGTCAATCCCAAAAGTTTATGTACCTTAGAAAAACACATTTCCTA